CTTATCAAGAAATTTTCTGGATAGGGAAAGGAATTTAGGGTCTTTTTTTTTGTTTGTCAAGAAATTTTTGGATTGGGAATTTTTTTTGACTGGAGTGGACCCCCCCCCCCCCCGGAAAAAATTCCTGGATCCGCGCCTACATGCTGCATATTACATTTAAGATCTTAAGACCAGAGGCAGGTTTCATATTCTCTCTCTGTTTCTCCATGGCAATGATATTGCAACATATACCTCGCGCGGGACCGCTGGATATGACCCAACGCACACGTCAATTACTGAACTTTACATGTACATTTTCAAAAGATAACATTTAGCAAGGTATGAAATTTACTAACCAGGTATCATCCCGTACCCTGTCACTAAAAAACTATGTAGGCTAACTAATAATACTCTGTTGTGGAATTATTTGTAAATGTCATCGAGCTCAAATATATATTGGTTAGAGTCGCAGTGACATCTCACTATAGTGTATGTGCCTGCCAAAAAGTCGCATAGAAAACTGAGCAGAGTCTTAATGATACAAAAATTCTCTGTCTATTAACATTACCTCAAAAAATTCAAGACATCTTTAATGTCAATATAAATGTATTAAAGTCGCTTTCAAAACCTAAGGAATTCATTATTTTTCCACCAAAATACTATTACAATTAACCCCGATTTTAAAGGAACACAGTCAGGATTTGTTTAAAAAAAAAAATGAAAATTTCATTTTAAAAAAAATAGATAAGAACCAAATAAGTGTGTAATAATTTTGTAATCCCCTCGCTCTCCCGTTGTCAGTAAAATGAATTAAGTCATTGATATTTCACCAAAAAAAAAATGCACGTAGATTACAAATTTAACCAGCAGATATTATGTAAAAAGGGGAAGGGGCACGGTTTGCATTTAATCGGTTAAATGGTCGCGAGTGCTGTCCTCTCGTGTTCTTAATATAGGTGTTCATGTTTTTTCATTCTCCAATTTTAATAATGAGACGGATAAATATGCTTTTAACTTGTTTCCAAATCCCGTTTAATCTTTGTCAAGTGTATGTTTATTCATTATGCTTGTAATTCTAAAAAAAAAAAAGAAAAAGAAAAAAAGAAAACAATGCCAACCGAAGTCTTCCTTTACAAAACACCCTTCCTGCTACTTTATAGAATATCCAATATATAACGGTGAACATTTCATCTTAATCTCATGAATTACATGAACAATACAGCAGGATACTAAGATGTGGAAACGGAGAAAAATTTTTTCTAACATTCTAATAGCATGATTGTATTGGTTTGAATTAAAGTTTGAATTCTTCTCATTATCCTTTTACTTTCTCTCATAAAATAAATCATTGTTCGTATGTATTTTAACTTAACAGCATAATTTCAATACGAAAAGTTCCCTAATGTCTATTTTGTATAAAACAAGATTGCAGGTATCGACTTAATTGTCCGACAAATCGTTGGAATTATATTACCCCGATATCAGATCAATCCAACAGAATATGGAATAACCCTATAATTTATTTTCTTTTCAGAATTTTATTCGATATTGACGCAGTTGAATTCGTTTATCAAATTTTACTTCCGATATACTGCAAATATTTTTTCCCCTTTAATCGATCTCATCCATAAAATATGGAATTACAGAATTAATGTTGCTTAAAATTACCTCTGATATACAAATTATATTTTTCCAACTCTATATATTTATCAGTTTAAGACTGTATTTTGTAAGTTTTCCTATACCAAGGATTATTTTTGATTAACAACACCTTATAACCAATGCCTATATCATTTATCGGCAAGGAAGTGGGCTACGCACAAAAATGAACCTCAAAATTTTTTACTTCCGCCAATCTAAAACATCACACCGGAAGGTACCGTCTCGGCCGTTTGGCCAAATTAACAGAGAAGCATTACACTGAACAGCTTAATGGTAGATCCTTTTTCCTAATTGCTGGTTTATTAATTAAAAATAAATCAATTGGCCTAACATGCGTTTAATCATTTAGTCAACATGAATGCCAAAATGAAATATTTCTATAGAATTGTAACGGGAAACCTGTACGTTTCCATGTTAATCCAGATTCAGTGATTTACAGAGAGAAACACATTTTTAAAGGTTAACAAAGGTTTATTAAATGAAATAAGTAAATAAATAAGTTACAATTAACAATATTACAAGTCTAGGGGATGGTGGATACCTACTCGCAGCTTGTCTCAGTCTAGCACTTATCTAATCTGGCCGTTGCGAACGTCACGGTGGTCAGGCCGTTAACAGACGTCCAGACGTTGTCCCGAACGGCCTGACACACGCGCAAAGTCGGCAACGAACCCGACATTAAATGTAGTATAATAATAATATAATAATAGTATAATGTTACACAACACAATATTACAATAATTATTCATATTAATACGTGACTAGATACATTGTAATAAATAACAAAGATTTAATAACATATATAGACACTATAAATCATCCACCATTACAGAATTAATTCCAATAAATTAAATACAGATTCAAGGGTCAAAGTTGTTTTATTATGATTTTTTTCTGAGAACCATACTTGGAGGAATTTAGCTTGCTTTTTATTTTTTATTCAATTTAGGAATAGAAAAATCTACGCGGACTGTAGAAGCAAAATTAATAGAACATGGTACGCTTCATGTAAATTTGGACTTTGAGCGAAATGTTTTAGAAGGCATCACACCGTATAGTAAGAAATTTGAATGCAGATGAAGAATGAAAAACTAAAATACTTATGTTGATCTATATACTATATTTTTACTTAATTATTTAGCAAATATTTAACAAACTATCGATAATGTTTAGGATTATTCAGCTTATTTGAATTCGCTTCTGATTTTTATGAATTCATTCTTCATAATTGATTATCGGTATTTATCGAAAATATCTTTAAAATATCATAATAATTTTATGACTAAAATTGCAACAAAATATACATGTAAAAATAAAGAATTTCTAAACCCACATAGTTTTGTTGATGTAAAAATTGAATAAATTTCCATACACGCTTTCCTGTATTTGAGCGCACTAAGCATAAACCAGAAAAAATACCGCAAAGTAATGTCAAAGAAATTGTGACGTCGTTTTAATCTCGCAGTGACGTTATATTTTCTGTACACTAACGTCGCAGGCAGAGGGTTATATCTTCTTTTTTATCTATACTTTACTTTAAATGAATAACTAACAAAAAAATTATATTCTTTTTTTTATTTCTTTTTTTTAATCTTGTCTATATTTATGGTCACAAAAAGGGGCTTGGTCCCTCCGTCAGTGGCTCATAACCAATATAACAAGAATAGATATGGGTTACCCCATATCCAAGATATTCGACTTTTAATTTATTCGAATTTTCGTTGTGTTCAGATAATTTCTAATAAAAAACAAGTATTTACTGACAAAACGTCAGAGATACTAAAGCTGTAGAAAGTCAACTATAAAAGTGCCATATACATAAATATCCTAAAATGACATAATATTTAGGCTACTGAGTTTCAACATCTTTTGTTGAAAAAAATATGCATATACTAGGAAACTGCATGTACATATATAACGTTACATGCATGTAGTAACTTTATCACAAAGTTGCACATGCATAAAACTAGTTTTAATTTCACATATAGAACATAAACTAAATATAATTAATTTAACGCCTCACTCATTTTCAGGAATATTTAATCCAAATAGCATGTTACAGGCCTTTAGCAACGTTTTCAAAGTGAAAGGGGGGGGACTCCCAAAAAATCCCGCGTACTATGGGCCTGTGCTACATGTGAACCATCTAACTTTCCAATGATAGAATCTTCTGTAAAAAAAAAAATTCAAAACAAGTCCAAGCCGTTATGGATTATCAAAGATAGCCCATTTTTATAAATAGCAAAACTATAGATCTATCAAGGATAGATTTTAATTTATTTTTTTAATTTTGTGCTATATTAAAAAGTATTATCACTCAAAGTATAGGCAGATGTTAAAGATGGTCCAACCTGTCACCTTTTAGAGTTATCAGTGAACTCGTCCAGTGATGCATTGACGGCCGTAGTTAAACGCAAAGGAAAGCGCGAGATCGGTTGCGGCTATGGAACATTGATCACTGAATATTCCCCCACCATATATTGGTTTTGAATATACAGACGCTTTGAAGATAAACTTCATTTTTGTTTCTAGAAATGTTTTTATTTACAAAAATAGTACATTTTCGTGTTAGATCGATGACCATAACTCAGCCCCTCTAGCCCAGTCTTGGGCTTGAGTAAAAAACCTGCACTTGTTATGAAACTGGTGTATACATGTAGTTCTAAACTTCTTTATGTCCGTAGCAAGTACTGATACCCGATCTAAGCGTCACTAGGGAACGGTGAACACACCTGTTCTTGCAAAACCAAATAGCCAGGTCTACACACGTGCGAAGATCCTTTCCGAGCTCGGAAAATCACATTGCTTTGCCGAGAAGTGTTTAACCATAATAACCATTCCGTTATTTAAAAAAAAAGAGAAAAAAACACACACACAGTTCATGATTAACATTCTAACTCAAAAGAAAATATACGGCAATTAACGAACAATAATCATGACAGTAATATAACTGGTGAAAAGATTTATCATTATCAATCGAAGTATGACCTATATATTTTCGTGAAAAAGACTGAGGAGGCAGCGAGCGTAGGAATATGAAAACTTTTTATTTGCTTTTCTGGGGAAAAAGTGATTTTCTTAAAATCTTTTAACGTTAATTTTGTTTTCTTTAACGTATTAAATATACATGATTATTCTTAACATTTGTTGTAATGTTGTATCTACTGATCATGAATGGAACTATTTTCTTCGGAGCAATTGTGTGAAGAGTACCTGACTTTAGTAATATATCTTGAATAGATAATATGCACTGATCGAATATATTAAAAAATAAGGTGTCGAAACATCCTATGATTCTAAACAACCTCGAGTCGAAATAGCACGGTATACCGCCTGAGCGAGGAAAAAAAACATTATGCTAATGCTTAATGTAGCAGATCATGTAGGTTTGATTATCGTGCAGTACTGAATCCTTACTTTTTATTGACGGTGAGTAAAATACTACTTTTGTTATTATCAAATTGTGATACATATAGTTTTATTTAGTTAATTTTTTTTTTTTGGAAATTTATGCAAACAGGCCGACGTTCAACTAGGGCATCGCGTCATTTTGATTTAAATGAGTGATGATTTATATATATACCAGGGGCCAACCTAGTATATAGGTCCCTGTTTATACCTTTATATACTAATAAAACATTTACCAAACCATACGTCTGCTGGGGGAAATGCGCCTGCCGAGAAAATTTGTATGTGTAGACACGGAAAACATTATTTCAAATGTTCATATCTTTTCACCAAATTTCGTTTCCCAACCAGTTTCAGAGTAAAGTATTTCTCTTGACACAAAAATTGTAAGTCCTGTAACAATTCTAGCTGCAGATAGTTGAATTCTTTCAAGCTTTCCGGCATCATGGTTAGAGCAGCCATCCCAAACAATAGAAGCGTATTCGAGCAGCATCAGGGGGTGATTTAAAAAAACAACAACATTTTTTTCAGCCTTTTCTTTCATATTCCTCTCAATTTGAGTATGCTGATTTCAAAATTACCAACCATTTCATAATATCTCTTCTCATTGCATCGCAATTAACAGACAGACATGGGTACCCTCTCTCAAATTCAAGAGGCAATTTTTTTGACTTTTAAAAATATCTGACCTCACATAAATTATGTACGGTGGTACATTTAAGACACGTAATAATTTTTTTTAAGATACCAGGAAATATTTATCTCATGAAAACGGAAAATTATCTCGTGAAAACGACATAATATCTCGTGAAAAAGAGATATTATCTCGTGAAACAACATAATATCTCGTGAAAATGACTTATTTTCTCGTTTAAACGACATAATATCTTGTGAAAACGAGATAATATCTCGTTTTAACGAGATATTATCTCGTGAAAACGACATATTATCTAGTGAAAACGAAATATTATCTCGTGAAAACAAAATGATATTTTGTGAAAATGACTTATTATCTCGTGGAAACGAGAAATCTCGTGAAAACGAGGTATAATCTTGTGTGAATTAAAATTTTAGAAAATCATATTATTTCCCAAAATTGATTATTAAAATTTTTCCCCAATTTCACTTATATACTTATTATATATGGATCATGCTTTCTTTCATATCCAAGTAGTTTTCTGCAGCTAGATTTGAGAAACTATTTCTTCTGGTATATTGTATTGTGAGCTATATTAATTAATGTCCCTCTGACAAGACAATGTGCTATCCTGAAATACTTATTATTGCCTTTCCAAATCTATTAAATTTGTCAGTGATTGAGATAGATTACAATAAATATGTTAATATAATATTATATATTATTAAATAAAAGTTGCAATGAGCATGTATACTAAGTTACACATCCATAGTTACATTATAATTATACATTATATTGTGTAACCCTGTGCAATTTCAATCAAAATTTCCCCTATACCTGAGCTTAAGATACAGATCAAGTTTGAGTTTCATTCCTGTTGATCAAATTAAAAAGAGTTATGACCATATTTGCCTTTTTTTTCAAACTGTTTTACATAACATATATTTGCTGAATATCAACGTTGGTTGGGATCTAGTCTCCTTAAGGGGATGAAGGACACATGGTCACATGACTCGATCTGTTTAACTACGTCATAGTCTCCGTTTATATAAGTGCAAAATGTGTAAACCATCAGTTCTTGTATTAATATTTGACAATTTGTTTACTTTGATTACCATCTTATGTATAAAAAATAAAAAGTTGAAACATTCTTGTAAACATTAACAAATTATGAAATTGTTTGATCCACTCCTCTGTTTCCCTAAACTGCGTATCCAACAAGTCGGTGACGTCATACACGATCTGTTAGTACAGCAAGATCATACTCGGTGATTTCAGGGGCGGTATTATTATGTAAAAACAGGTCATAATCAGTATGTGATGAAATATTTTGAGAAATGGGGAACACAGAAATTATTTTTGCATTGCTGAAGACGGAAATCTTATGTAGGTATATCTTATTTCGCTATTTAGCTTACGTGTGACGTCATAGTTGGTTTTTCCCGTACTCGAGAAATGTAAACATGACACGGTTTTGTCATGCTTATGCCTTCTTTCACGAAGTCCTGTGCAATATTGAGGTCAGCTTCACCATTCGAAATTTTTACAGTTAATCAATAATACGAAGGACTTGCATTTCAAGGTAAATTTAAAAATATTGAATGATAGAATTTTTTGTAAATTACGTTTTATGTTGTTTAAGTTGTCTTAAAAAGTACGTAATTTTCCCTATCCAGATGCAGAGTGATAGAAGAAACTCGCTTTTTCGAATTTTAAACCCTGTTCATACTCTGAAATATTTTAAAAGATAAATGTCCACTTACATATTTTTTATAAATGCTTAAAAAATCCCATTGTGGACAGAGTAATGAGTCCGGAAACATGGAGAATTAAAAGTCCCCTTAGATACATGTAGTGTAGGACATAGTATTTGTCAATCAATATCTCAAAAATAAGGCCAGAAACCTAATGATATTTCTGCTTTAAGATATGTGGGACATACTTAATTAGAAATATACAAAATATAAAATAAATTGAATGACAAGTATTTTTTCAGCTCAAGGTCCTTCTTCCCCTTAATGCAACATTTTTTTTTATCTAGGAGCTGTAGTTTTTGTATTCTGGAATTTCTAAATATTTTTTTAATGAGGCCAAACAAAAAAATATGTGTGGTTCCGGTTACACTTCCAAAAAAATTAGGGTAGGTAGACCTGTAGGGATTTTTTTTTTTTTTTTAACAAAATGATTTTCTTAATTTTTTCTAAATAATACCTATCACTGCTTTGCAAATGGCATTTAGATATGGTGTGATAATATACTAGTCAATGTTGGTAGGGGACACCTACATGCTAGCTTGCTTTGGATTTAACACTATTAATCACTATGTTTTGCAAGGAGGCCGTCATTGCTGAAACTAAAACTTAAACTAGAGCCATTGATGGAAATCAGGAAAAATTCCGGAAAAAAATGCCAAAAAAAGTTTAGGGTCGGGGGTATAAAATAGGGAAGGTCGGGTAACCGGAACCACACATATTTTTTTATTTGGCCTGATCTTTTAAACCAGATGAAAGCATTCCTTAATGACATCCTCTCTTGTACACTCTTCATCCATATTTGACAACGAATAGCAAAATACTAAATCAGGTTGTTCAATGTATGTAACAAAATTTAAAGTCGAAGAAATATGTTGTTTTCACGACATAATAAGTCGTTTTCACGAGATATTATGTCGTTTTCAGAAGATAATATGTCATTTTCACGAGATAATATATCGTTTTCCCGAGAAAGTAAGTCGCTTTCACGAGATAATATCTCGTTTTCACAAGATAATATCTCGTATATTTGCGAGGCTTGACAAGCAAATATACACCATTTCAATGAGTTGGATAAAGCAAAAATCAAATCACACAATTTTATATATTCTTTTTATCTCATACAATTTTTGTTTTGAACTTCAACCCGATCGATGATGCTAACATTTATGATGTCGCACTGTTGACAGTGATTTTTCTACACCCAATTTAGGTCCGAATATCGGCCCTTTCCCCTATCAAAAATTACCGATTTTTCCCCCCGTTTCTGTTCCTATTTTCCCAAAGCAAAACTGATGTTGTTTTTGTTATGTTAGATTTTTCATGTACAACTTATCGTAAATGGAATGCTATTGCTCTCGGTCATTCAGACTCTTAAAATAATAGTAAGGAACAGCAGATTACTTTGTGCATTTACAAGACTTGGAAAAACACATGGTCATGTCAAACTTGTTGTGTAAATACATCGTAAGAAAGTGTAATGTGCATGTGAACCGGCAAAACATAGCTTTATTTGTAAATCCAAGTACTAGAAACTCTACAATAAGCATCCCTGATTCCACGAAAATCAAACTGTTTCTACATCCGGCAGATACATCTAGTATTGCAGAGAAATGGCAACAATATGATTAGTTAGGGTAATTAAAAAGCTATAATAATTAGTTTGAAAAATAAATGATATTTGTCATAAATCATGTCAGTTTATTTTATCTTCAATGGCTAATACGAGAAAGATTTTCTCTTATGTCTACTATTATGGGGAAAAAAAATGGAAATATAGGTTGGTCACAATTGATAACAACTTTCAAAGATTAAAAAAAAAAGGTTAAGAATTTAGAACTGTGTCTAATTTGTTATTTTTTAGCAAATAAATTGAATAAATGATGTCACATTTACTTATATACCAGTATTTTATTTTACCTGCCAATTAAGTTTAAATTTCAATCTTTTTGATTTTTCCCAATTTGATACAAATGTCGATGATTTTTCCAAATTGTAAAGGCCCAGGCCCCTTTTAAAAAATGTAGAAAAATCAGAGGTTGACGTTGACATGCAGAAAGAATATTTGTAGATCTGACAAGACTGTCTTGGAATCTTTTAAAAACATAAGTGACAATCTTTTGGAGATTTATTTCATACAAAACTTTTTTTCTGGAAGTAAGGACTAAGGAATCATGATTCGTCCTCTGAAATCATTCTGTGTACGGCAGTGCTAGGCTACTTGTAGATGCATGATAAGTTATATAGTTAGTATAAGGTAAGAAAGCATTGTTGAAAGTAGCTAGACTTTCCTGCATGGTTGAAGGAATATTCCAACTACAACTTAACTGCTAGGTCTAATGTTTCCTATGAGAGCGATTGTGAGTGTGTGTGTGTGTAGTCAGTACATTGATAAATTTTGACATTTCACTGAAGTGTAATGAGTTTTTCTTGTTTTTAACGAACATTTTTGCTCATTAGCATTCATTTGATAACACAGAACTTTCACAATTAGAAGTTTCAATAAATTTACATCTTGAAGCGAGGCCAATTGATTGTGTCGAAATCGGAAGTGCTATTGATATGGCCAAAATAAAATTATTGTTTGTTTGGAATTGCCTCCCGCCTCATTGAAATGACCCCTCCTGGAAAAA